CTTAGGGCATGCTGAGTAGCTGGGAAAAATAAAAGAAGAGCATGTGCTTTCATGGGGAAACGCTCAAACATTCATACTTGGGGCAAATGTTGAAATGCTATAGCTCCCCACCCCTTTGGATTTTTCGACTTGAGAATTGGCGGTGCAGGCTCTAGATGGCATGCACTAACCAGCCATGCAAAAAACAAGGGCTTAGGGCATGCTGAGTAGCTGGGAAAAATAAAAGAAGAGCATGTGCTTTCATGGGGAAACGCTCAAACATTCATACTTGGGGCAAATGTTGAAATGCTATAGCTCCCCACCCTTTGGATTTTCGACTTGAGAATTGCGGTGCAGGCTCTAGATGGCATGCACTAACCAGCCATGCAAAAAACAAGGGCTTAGGGCATGCTGAGTAGCTGGGAAAAAATAAAAGAAGAGCATGTGCTTTCATGGGGAAACGCTCAAACATTCATACTTGGGGCAAATGTTGAAATGCTATAGCTCCCCACCCCTTTGGATTTTCGACTTGAGAATTGCGGTGCAGGCTCTAGATGGCATGCACTAACCAGCCATGCAAAAAACAAGGGCTTAGGGCATGCTGAGTAGCTGGGAAAAATAAAAGAAGAGCATGTGCTTTCATGGGGAAACGCTCAAACATTCATACTTGGGGCAAATGTTGAAATGCTATAGCTCCCCACCCCTTTGGATTTTCGACTTGAGAATTGCGGTGCAGGCTCTAGATGGCATGCACTAACCAGCCATGCAAAAAACAAGGGCTTAGGGCATGCTGAGTAGCTGGGAAAAATAAAAGAAGAGCATGTGCTTTCATGGGGAAACGCTCAAACATTCATACTTGGGGCAAATGTTGAAATGCTATAGCTCCCCACCCCTTTGGATTTTCGACTTGAGAATTGCGGTGCAGGCTCTAGATGGCATGCACTAACCAGCCATGCAAAAAACAAGGGCTTAGGGCATGCTGAGTAGCTGGGAAAAATAAAAGAAGAGCATGTGCTTTCATGGGGAAACGCTCAAACATTCATACTTGGGGCAAATGTTGAAATGCTATAGCTCCCCACCCCTTTGGATTTTCGACTTGAGAATTGCGGTGCAGGCTCTAGATGGCATGCACTAACCAGCCATGCAAAAAACAAGGGCTTAGGGCATGCTGAGTAGCTGGGAAAAATAAAAGAAGAGCATGTGCTTTCATGGGGAAACGCTCAAACATCATACTTGGGGCAAATGTTGAAATGCTATAGCTCCCCACCCCTTTGGATTTTCGACTTGAGAATTGCGGTGCAGGCTCTAGATGGCATGCACTAACCAGCCATGCAAAAAACAAGGGCTTAGGGCATGCTGAGTAGCTGGGAAAAATAAAAGAAGAGCATGTGCTTTCATGGGAAACGCTCAAACATTCATACTTGGGGCAAATGTTGAAATGCTATAGCTCCCCACCCCTTTGGATTTTCGACTTGAGAATTGCGGTGCAGGCTCTAGATGGCATGCACTAACCAGCCATGCAAAAAACAAGGGCTTAGGGCATGCTGAGTAGCTGGGAAAAATAAAAGAAGAGCATGTGCTTTCATGGGGAAACGCTCAAACATTCATACTTGGGGCAAATGTTGAAATGCTATAGCTCCCCACCCCTTTGGATTTTCGACTTGAGAATTGCGGTGCAGGCTCTAGATGGCATGCACTAACCAGCCATGCAAAAAACAAGGGCTTAGGGCATGCTGAGTAGCTGGGAAAAATAAAAGAAGAGCATGTGCTTTCATGGGGAAACGCTCAAAATTCATACTTGGGGCAAATGTTGAAATGCTATAGCTCCCCACCCCTTTGGATTTTCGACTTGAGAATTGCGGTGCAGGCTCTAGATGGCATGCACTAACCAGCCATGCAAAAAACAAGGGCTTAGGGCATGCTGAGTAGCTGGGAAAAATAAAAGAAGAGCATGTGCTTTCATGGGGAAACGCTCAAACATTCATACTTGGGGCAAATGTTGAAATGCTATAGCTCCCCACCCCTTTGGATTTTCGACTTGAGAATTGCGGTGCAGGCTCTAGATGGCATGCACTAACCAGCCATGCAAAAAACAAGGGCTTAGGGCATGCTGAGTAGCTGGGAAAAATAAAAGAAGAGCATGTGCTTTCATGGGGAAACGCTCAAACATTCATACTTGGGGCAAATGTTGAAATGCTATAGCTCCCCACCCCTTTGGATTTTCGACTTGAGAATTGCGGTGCAGGCTCTAGATGGCATGCACTAACCAGCCGTACAAAAAACAAGGGCTTAGGGCATGCTGAGTAGCTGGGAAAAATAAAAGAAGAGCATGTGCTTTCATGGGAAACGCTCAAACATTCATACTTGGGGCAAATGTTGAAATGCTATAGCTCCCCACCCCTTTGGATTTTCGACTTGAGAATTGCGGTGCAGGCTCTAGATGGCATGCACTAACCAGCCATCAAAAAACAAGGGCTTAGGGCATGCTGAGTAGCTGGGAAAAATAAAAGAAGAGCATGTGCTTTCATGGGGAAACGCTCAAACATTCATACTTGGGGCAAATGTTGAAATGCTATAGCTCCCCACCCCTTTGGATTTTCGACTTGAGAATTGCGGTGCAGGCTCTAGATGGCATGCACTAACCAGCCATGCAAAAAACAAGGGCTTAGGGCATGCTGAGTAGCTGGGAAAAATAAAAGAAGAGCATGTGCTTTCATGGGGAAACGCTCAAACATTCATACTTGGGGCAAATGTTGAAATGCTATAGCTCCCCACCCCTTTGGATTTTCGACTTGAGAATTGCGGTGCAGGCTCTAGATGGCATGCACTAACCAGCCATGCAAAAAACAAGGGCTTAGGGCATGCTGAGTAGCTGGGAAAAATAAAAGAAGAGCATGTGCTTTCATGGGAAACGCTCAAACATTCATACTTGGGGCAAATGTTGAAATGCTATAGCTCCCCACCCCTTTGGATTTTCGACTTGAGAATTGCGGTGCAGGCTCTAGATGGCATGCACTAACCAGCCATGCAAAAAACAAGGGCTTAGGGCATGCTGAGTAGCTGGGAAAAATAAAAGAAGAGCATGTGCTTTCATGGGGAAACGCTCAAACATTCATACTTGGGGCAAATGTTGAAATGCTATAGCTCCCCACCCCTTTGGATTTTCGACTTGAGAATTGCGGTGCAGGCTCTAGATGGCATGCACTAACCAGCCATGCAAAAAACAAGGCTTAGGTGTTGTGTGATGTCATCATATGCTATCACATTCTGTCTGCCTCCCATCCCATTTTTTCAACTTGCATGTGTGGTTTGAACTGTGTGCAAGAATTTGTGTGTGGTGTGTTCTGGAGTTTGGGAATGTGTTTTGTGTTATTTGTTTGAGCAGGTATTTGTGATGATAGATCTTGAGAAGATCTTTCCGACGCAACAAGAATCGCTTCAATCGGAGCAAGAACGCGAAAGCTATGAAGATTCAAAGTTCATGAGCTTGCGTTACAATTGCGGCGGTTACAAAGTGAAGTTGTGGGGTGACTTTATATGGAGTTGGGACCTTTGGGGTTGGGGAAATTTGTCACTCTACTGTAACAGCTGCAAATTGGTTGGGAACAACCAAGCTAGGTTGGCAAGGGTGGCCAACTTGGATGGATTGGTTGGGAAGGGACAAATGTCAAAGTTGGGTTCCTATAGGGAGGGAATCTTTGTGCTTATGGGGTTTCCTTGGTTGGGGACTCTCTTGGGACCTTCCCTCTCATCCCTCTCTTCTATCCCAACCTTTCTCTTGCTCCTTCTAATTCCTTGTGAGATTCTTGAACTTTGATTGAACTTTGAGATTGAGTTAAGTTCTCCTCCTACAGCTTACCCCCTAGTGCGTCGAAAGCCATAGCGTCGCGAATACTTCATCAATCAACATGATTCAAATTGGGAACGGTAGCTGAGATTAAGAGCTACAACATATCCAAGTTTCGCGACATTCCAACGGCTAGTTTTTGTCGACGTCGTTTCTTGTGAAGACGACTTTTCTGTCCAGAATTTCGGATTTATATTTTGAGTAATTCTAGCTCCTAAGTTCACCTAGACTCCGTCCTTAATCCTAACAAGTGGTATCAGAGCATATTAAGGACATTGAGAGGAGTCTACAGAAGTGTGAAGACCCTTCTAGACCCACCATGGCCTGTGGGTGTGCCTAAGTGGTGTTCTAAAGGTTGGATGTGTCTTCCGCTAAGGGGAAACTCTGCCGAAATTTCGTGGACGCCGACACTTGTGAAAATATCGAGGGAGCTGAGTGTGGACAGCAAAGGGGAGCTGAAATTCGTCATTTCTCAAGGAGAAGATGAATGAGAGAGGAGGAGATGCTAATGGAAGAGGAGCTGTAGCTGAGAAGACAAGTGAGCCGCCGCCATCAAAAGTTGAAGCTTTGGATGGCTCCAACTATGAGGAATGGAGCGGACGGATGAGGAGTGCCTTCAAACGCTACAAGCTACTGAAGATTGCTGTTGGGGAAGAGAAGATGCCGGAAGAAGGCGAAGCACGTGAACGGTGGATTGAGAAAAGCGCGGTGCTTTTCGACCTCATCCTTCAATCGGTCAACAAGGAGATGTTCGAGCACATCAAGGATCTTGTGGAAGCGGATGATTCGGGTCCAAGGGCGTGGAAACTACTACGCGATGTGATTCAGCCCAACACTCTCCTGATGGTGATCGTGCTCGAGAAGGAACTTGCTGCCATCTCCATGCGACCAGGGGACGATGTGAAGCCGGTCCTTGACAAGATCAAGGACACCTATGCAAGGATGGCAGCAGCGGGCAGCAGTGTATCTCAGCTGCAGCAGTGCACCAAGATCATCTCGGTGTTGGACAACTCTTGGGACAACCTCATCCCCACCCTCAACTCTCAGCAAGATCAATGGACACCTGAGTGGCTAAGGCAGCAGATTCTGCAGGAGGACTTCCGCAGACGCCATGTGGGAGGCGGTGCTGCCACTAAGACTGCTGAGGGGTATGGAGCTGCAGGGCGCGGCAGAGGAAGAGGGGGTTGGAGAGGCCGAGGCCGTGGGAGAAGCTTTGGCAGAGGTAGAGGCCGAGGTGACTATAATGAGGGGCATGGGAGCTCTAGTGGCAGGGGGAGTACCAGAATGGAGGGCACCTGCTGGTACTGCAAGAAGGTCGGGCATCCTTGGTTCAAGTGCTTCAGCAGGCCGGAGGGATGGTCACCTCCAGGCATGAAGCCGCCCAGTGGTGAACGCGCACAAGGTGGCGCTGTGCAAGGCTCAGGTGCACAAGGTGAAGGTGCACAAGGTAATGCCTATCCTGGGATGTTTCTCATGGTTGAGGATGTGCATGGGCATGAGGGTGATGTGGGATCTGTGGGAAAGGTTGTGATGCACCCTCTCACGCACTGGGTGATTGATTCGGGTTGCACCAGTCACATGACCCCACGGGCAGATTTGCTTGATGAGGTAAAACCCCCTGGGAAGATCAAGTATGTGGCAGCAGCGTCAGGTGCTTTGCTCCCCGTGATTGGTGTTGGAATGCCAAGGTTAAGGGAGCTAATGGGGAGCTTGTGGGGCTTGGGAATGTTCTGCTGGTTGAAGGCTTGTCTGCTAACCTTCTCTCTGTGCGGCGACTGCAGAAGAGCAAGGCCGAAGTGACCTTTGGACCAACCAGCTGCCGTGCTAAGCTTGGGAAGAAGGTGCTGTGGAGTCTGGAAGAGGAGACCAGCTGCATCAAGGACCTGTGGCAGCTGCCCATCATCCCATGGAATGGGAAGACTCCAACAGCAGCAACGGCAGCAGCGGCAAAGGCAACAGCAGGAGGAGATGCAACTGCACCAACTGATGGGGTCCTGGAAGCAGTCAAGAAAGTGCAGCAGCAGCAGACACATGGTGAGGTGCTTGCTGGTGTGGATGCGAGTGCGGCATGGGCTAAGGCTTCATCAAGGAGTGGAGAGGCCGATTGGGAGACATGGCATGAGAGGCTGTGTCATGTGAACTTCCCTATGCTGCAGAAGTTGGTGAAGAATGGGAGCCTGAAGGGCTTGGAGGTGAAAGGGGAAGTGAAGGAGATTGGGAGCTGCCCTACATGCTTGGAGACCAAGTTCTCCAAGTTCCCCTTCAACAGCACTACAGGACCAGCCAAGACCCCACTTGCACTTGTGCACATGGATGTGGTGGGGCCCACAAGAGCCCCTTCCCTCTCAGGCAGCCGCTATTTCTTGACAATTGTGGATGACCACACTCGGGCAGTGTGGGTTTACCCTTTGAAGAGCAAGGGGGAGGTGGCAGCGGCTGTCCTTAAGGAGTGGATGCCTAGAGCTCAGAGGGAATGCGGATACAAGGTGAAGGTGATCCGCAGTGACAATGGTGGGGAGTTCATTGGAGCTGATTTTGAGGGGGAGTTGAAGAGGAAGGGGATCCAGCATCAACTGACAGTGCCCTACAACCCGCAGCAGAATGGCGTGGCTGAGAGGTTCAACAGGACCCTGCAGGAGGGGGCACGCACTCTCCTTGGGCGTGCAGGGCTGCCTGATCCGTTTTGGGTGTCTGCACTGAGGCAGGTCGCCCTTGTGAAGAACAGGGTGCTGGCTACAGTTGGAGATAAGGAGTGGATCCCATATGTCAAGTGGTATGGGAGTGCTCCAGCTGTGAACATGCTGAGGGCATTTGGGTGCATGGTGGTGTTTCATGTGCCTAAGGAGAAAAGGGGGAAGTTGGAGGCTTCTGGAAGATGGGGTGTGCACTTGGGGATTGCAAAGGATCACAAGGGGTGGCTGCTATGGGACTTGACCACCCAGAAGTTGACAGTGTCAAGGGATGTGAAGTTTCTTGAGTCCCTGTACTACAAGGAATGGAAGCAGCAGCAACAGAAGCTTCCATCTACACCGCTCATTGTGGAGGCAGATGAGGTGCAGCACCCTTCAAGACAGGTGGAGGTTGCAGTGTCAGAGGAGGAGATGTCTGGGGTGACTGAGGAAGGGGGAGCAGCTGAAGTAGAGCAGCAGCAGCAGCAGCATGAGTCTCCACCTCGAGTTCCACACCCGCCTGAGCGTCCTAGGAGGGATGTGCGCCCTCCAGTGAGGCTGACCTATGGGGGAAGAGGCAAGCCAAATGTGGTGCAGGCTGGGAGTGTGGTTGAGCAGATTGAGGAAGATGAGATCGCTCACTGCTACTGGGCACCAATCCCTGAGCCCAAGACTCGAGAGGAGGCCTTGAATGGACCAAATGGGGAGAAGTGGAAGGCGAGTGAGGATGAGGAGTTCGGGTCCCTAATTGAGAACGAGACATGGGACCTGTGTGACTTGCCTCCTGGAAAGAAGGCAATCACTTCCAAGATGATCTACAGGCACAAGTATGGACCTGAAGGGGAGCTGACCCGCTACAAGTCTAGGCTTGTGGCACGGGGGTTTCAGCAGACAAAGGGGAAGGACTATGATGAGGTGTTTGCTCCTGTGGGGAAAGGAACAACACTGAGGGTGCTGTTGGCGATAGCTGCACTCCTGGGATGGAAGATACGGCAGATGGACATTGTGACTGCCTTTCTGAATGGGATCATTCTGGAGGAGGTGTACATGAAGCAGCCAGAGGGGCTGGATGACGGGAGCGGCAGGGTCTGCAGGCTGAAGAAGGCCATCTATGGCCTTAAGCAGGCGCCTCGTGCATGGTATCACAAGTTGGAGGAGGCGCTGTTGGCTGGGGGTTTCAAGAAGAGTGAGTGTGACCCCAGCCTGTTCCTGCTGCAGGAGAAGGATGAAATCCTCATGCTCTTGGTGTATGTGGATGATATCCTTCTCTTTTCTGCATCCACTGCTTTGCTGGACAGCGCAGAGCAGATGCTGGAGATGCAGTTCAAGTGCTCCAAGATGGGTGAGGTGAAGTACTACTTGGGGATGCACGTGGAGAGAGATGTGGAAAAGGGTGTGCTGAGGTTGCACCAGAGGAAGTACTGTGAGGGGCTGGCTGAGAAGTATGGGCTGCAAGATGGGGGAAAGCCAGCAACACCACTACCTTCAGGGTTTACTGTGGAGCCATGTGCTGATGAGGAGGTAGTGGGTGATAGTGACAGGAAGCTGTTTCATTCGATGGTTGGGTCGCTGAATTATGCTGCAAATCATACACGGCCTGACATTGCATTTGCTACATCACGATTGGCTAGTGTGGTCTCACGCCCTAGTCATGAGCAGCTGGAAGCGGCCAAGAGGTTGGTCCGCTATGTGAGTGCTACGGCATCAGTGGGATTGGAGTACAGTGGAGTGAGGCAGCGGTTGCAGAGAGGTGCTGCAGATGTGAAGAGTGGAGAGATGCTCTTGAGTTGCTATACTGACGCTAGCTTCAACTCAGTGAAAGCGGATGGCACCAGCATTGGGGGTTATGTGTGCTTGCTAGGAGGTGGTGCTGTGAGCTGGCGCAGCAAGAAGCAGAATGAGGTGGGATTGTCCTCATGTGAGACTGAGTACATGGCCTTACACCATGGGGCCAAGGAAGTAGTGTGGCTAAGGCGTTTGTTGGAGGAGTTGGGAGTTGGTCAGGAGAAGCCGACAGTTGTGTTTTGTGACAATGAGTCCGCTGTGAAGCTCGCCAAGAATGCTTGTCTGCATGGGCTGACAAAACACATAAGGCCTAAGTGGCATTGGGTGAGGAGAATCCTTGATAAGGAGGTGCGGCTGGAGATAGTGAAGACCCATCAGCAGGCAGCAGATATTTTCACTAAGCGTCTGGCGGAGGCGGATCATTGGAAGGGCATGAAGCTTGCTGGGATGAGTGTGCATTGAGTATGCATGCTTGAGATGTGGTATGGTGGATGATGGTTGGCAGCCAGAGGGGGAGATTGTTGTGTGATGTCATCATATGCTATCACATTCTGTCTGCCTCCCATCCCATGTTTCAACTTGCATGTGTGGTTTGAACGTGTGCAAGAATTTGTGTGTGGTGTGTTCTGGAGTTTGGGAATGTGTTTTGTGTTATTTTGTTTGAGCAGGTATTTGTGATGATAGATCTTGAGAAGATCTTTCCGACGCAACAAGAATCGCTTCAATCGGAGCAAGAACGCGAAAGCTATGAAGATTCAAAGTTCATGAGCTTGCGTTACAATTGCGGCGGTTACAAAGTGAAGTTGTGGGGTGACTCTATATGGAGTTGGGACCTTTGGGGTTGGGGAAATTTGTCACTCTACTGTAACAGCTGCAAATTGGTTGGGAACAACCAAGCTAGGTTGGCAAGGGTGGCCAACTTGGATGGATTGGTTGGGAAGGGACAAAGGTCAAAGTTGAGGTTCCTATAGGGAGGGAATCTTTGTGCTTATGGGGTTTCCTTGGTTGGGGACTCTCTTGGGACCTTCCCTCTCGTCCCTCTCTTCTATCCCAACCTTTCTCTTGCTCCTTCTAATTCCTTGTGAGATTCTTGAACTTTGATTGAACTCTTTGAGATTGAGTTAAGTTCTCCTCCTACAGCTTACCCCCTAGTGCGTCGAAAGCCATAGCGTCGCGAATACTTCATCAATCAACATGATTCAAATTGGGAACGGTAGCTGAGATTAAGAGCTACAACATATCCAAGTTTCGCGACATTCCAACGGCTAGTTTTTGTCGACGTCGTTTCTTGTGAAGACGACTTTTCTGTCCAGAATTTCGGATTTATATTTTGAGTAATTCTAGCTCCTAAGTTCACCTAGACTCCGTCCTTAATCCTAACATAGGGCATGCTGAGTAGCTGGGAAAAATAAAAGAAGAGCATGTGCTTTCATGGGGAAACGCTCAAACATTCATACTTGGGGCAAATGTTGAAATGCTATAGCTCCCCACCCCTTTGGATTTTCGACTTGAGAATTGCGGTGCAGGCTCTAGATGGCATGCACTAACCAGCCATGCAAAAAAAAAGGGCTTAGGGCATGCTGAGTAGCTGGGAAAAATAAAAGAAGAGCATGTGCTTTCATGGGGAAACGCTCAAACATTCATACTTGGGGCAAATGTTGAAATGCTATAGCTCCCCACCCCTTTGGATTTTCGACTTGAGAATTGCGGTGCAGGCTCTAGATGGCATGCACTAACCAGCCATGCAAAAAACAAGGGCTTAGGGCATGCTGAGTAGCTGGGAAAAATAAAAGAAGAGCATGTGCTTTCATGGGGAAACGCTCAAATACTCATACTTGGGGCAAATGTTGAAATGCTATAGCTCCCCACCCCTTTGGATTTTCGACTTGAGAATTGCGGTGCAGGCTCTAGATGGCATGCACTAACCAGCCATGCAAAAAACAAGGGCTTAGGGCATGCTGAGTAGCTGGGAAAAATAAAAGAAGAGCATGTGCTTTCATGGGGAAACGCTCAAACATTCATACTTGGGGCAAATGTTGAAATGCTATAGCTCCCCACCCCTTTGGATTTTCGACTTGAGAATTGCGGTGCAGGCTCTAGATGGCATGCACTAACCAGCCATGCAAAAAAAAAGGGCTTAGGGCATGCTGAGTAGCTGGGAAAAATAAAAGAAGAGCATGTGCTTTCATGGGGAAACGCTCAAACATTCATACTTGGGGCAAATGTTGAAATGCTATAGCTCCCCACCCCTTTGGATTTTCGACTTGAGAATTGCGGTGCAGGCTCTAGATGGCATGCACTAACCAGCCATGCAAAAAACAAGGGCTTAGGGCATGCTGAGTAGCTGGGAAAAATAAAAGAAGAGCATGTGCTTTCATGGGGAAACGCTCAAACATTCATACTTGGGGCAAATGT